ATTATCAACTTAATTGTATCAAATAAATAATATGCACTACGCACAAATTATTGAATAAAATATTGTATATAATGTGTAATTATTTGTTATGAATTTACGATAGTAGTATGTGGTTTTTTTCCATACGATAAGAATGTATATTTTAAAAAATAATCAAATATGAGCAAACGAAAGCCCAAAGCGAAAAATTAATTGCTCCCCAAATAATATATACATTACATATACAGTACAATATATAATTTTACTATAAAACCTCCGTAAAATAATATCAATAAATAAATCTCTTGGTTGACATCGTTGATATTACTATTTTACGAAGTTGTACTTGTTATTATCGATACCTTCCTTACTATGATTAAGGTTCACTTTGTACAGTCGAAATTTAAGGTACATAATATATATACTTAATATAAATTCAATACGCATTATTTTATACTTATAATGACTTCATTTTAAAAAGACACACTTGTGTTTACCAGTTTTGCTCATCCTATAGCGCATTAAAATATTAAGATCGTTTAGATTACGTTTTTTATTTAAATGAACATAAAATATTCATAATATTAGGTTGTAAAATAAAGAAACTTACTATATAATAGATATAAAAATATAACAATAATAATATGTCCAGATAACATATTCGTATTTATAAAGAGTAAAAAATACTTTTGTATAATTTTTAAGTTCCCTTATAAGCCACAATTCGACAGCTTTTATAATTTTTTATGAACGAATCTCAAAAATCAGATATAAAATAAATATTATTATTATATTATGTTGATTTTATTAATTTCAGTATCAATTTCAAATATATTTAAAGTACGATTATATTATTATGATGGCTATCGAACGATTGAGAACGTTATACCTTTTTGGCCGAACGATTGTGAACACTTAAAATTAACAAAAAATTCACCACTGAACCAAAAAAACCTAAAGAGCGATACGATTGAGAACGAAATTATGTGCAACGTTGCCATAGTTTGCCATATCATTTATTTGGCTTATGAAAAATTCAGTATACATACAACAAATATTCTTGAAAAAAGTCATAAATTAATAATTATAATCGTATACAAATAAATGCCTAATAATATGTAATATATAATATGAATAAAAAATTAAAAATGTGTAGGACTTATAAAAATATCTAATATTTATATAATATATATATGTAGAATTTATAAAATGTATTACTTTCTAATAATATTAGGTCTTCACCTCATTCGCTTCTTATGATTTTAATTTCGTTCTTTTCCATTTTAATAAATATGCTATGTAGTATATTATATTGACGAATAGTTTTTGCGACGACTGCAAAGCTTAACCGTCATTCTCTCGTATCTGGTATCTAAGTTACTATTAACACCCAGCTAATCCGATAAAAGTCCGATTAATATCAACGGATTATTGTACTCATATTATCGATCTATTACATTCGGCAACGTTGGAAAAAAAACTCGAGCGTTCTCAATCGTGTTACCAAAAACTACGTTCTCAATCGTACCATTCTCAATCGTATTTTACCGATTAACGATCCTTGACCATTCAGTCACATGACCCAATATTACCTAAAGAACATTTTAGATGATCTTAAATATTTGATTTATTATAATAGGTGGCATACATTATAATAAAATTATATTTACCACACCTGTAGATATTTATACAACATTTAAATTGTAAAACATTAATGCGATTTTCAAGATAACAATCTCAATCAAACCTTATTGAAACAATATAATGTAATAAACAATCAATTTAAAAAAATTGACTTACAACAATCAAAACGTTTACATTTAAGAATGTAACGGATCGTATATTCGATACTCACAAAAATAATAACAGAGTGATTAGACTCGGACCCGTTTTATCTGGAATTGAATGTAACAATTTAACGGACCGTTAGAGTTAAATTTAATCAAAACTCGGAACGACAAAAAAGACACATAGATGTTAGATAATGAACACTTCTAGTACTTACCAATAAAAATTGAGATCCCAATAACAAAGACACTGAAGTATAACATTTTATTCAAATCGAATTAATGCATTTTTTGAGAAGAAATCAGTAAGTGAATTAAAAAATCTCCTTACCCTAGTAATAGAACTTTAAGTTCACTAAATATATGCAGTTTAAAAATTACATGTAATGTAATTATAAACAGAATATATTAAATATTTAACTGCATAAAAACCATGACTATGGAATCCTTTAGTTTACGAATTGGTATTGTATTAAATAAAAATATAAATACTACGAATGATAATTTAACCAGTCATGTTTATCGGAATAGGTCTTACGAAAGATACCAAACAAATAAATTAAGAAAATTTGATGGAATTAAAATCTAAAATTAGCTAATAATGAATAAAAACAGGCATCACCGTTTTATACGATTTAATTTCTATAGAATTATTAACTACAATCATTTTAGCTGTATTATAATACATATATTTTAAGAAATATAGTATTTAATTTTTTACCCAAAAGACACTTACGTGTGTTTAATGTAAACATTTGTGATGAATGAAATAAAAATTATTATGAGAATGTGCAACATTATGATTTTGTGGAGGAATTTGTTTAAAAAATATTGTTTTAGCGTATGCGACATTTTTCAACATTTATCATCAATAGTTTTATTATAAGACTAGTTATAGTATTTATTGTTAAAATCCTGCAAACTATTATGAATAATATTATTATTATTACCACTATCACGTCAATGATAAATCAATTCATATAAATAAAAATAATTGATAAATCTATTTCAACACACGTATTATTTACACAATTATTGAATATATTTATTATATATAAAATTATATATGTATTAGTTTCTACAGCAGGATATTTTGAGTATGATGATCTTTCAACACGAACGCAATGAGATTGTCTAGCTATTATGCCGATAAGTTATTGTAAGAACGCGGAGTATATTTCTCTTGGGATCATATAGTTTTCATTACACCGAAATTTGAAACCCTTCGCTTAAACTAACGCAATGCTTTCCTCTATAATAACACATTACTGCCCTTGATCTGGATTATAATATTTAATCATAGGTCTTTAGACATATAATGAATATTAGTCGTATGTACAAAAGTCAAAAAGCAATCTAAAATTAAATTATTAAAACCAAAAGTACGCGTGCACAACCAAAGCTTATTTTACTCATTTTTAAATAACATCAATAAAATATGAACAAGTTCATTATAAATATACATAATATACTCTAAACAATTTTAAACTTAAACGCATGTACCGACTGCAAAAGTAAGTTCTAATATGAACACAAAAACATTGTGGATAGCAATCTTTTATTTAAAAAATGCTGATGCATTATCTCGTTAAATTCAAATTACTCTGAAATGTTAACATTTAGCACAAGAATATGTTCATATATAAGCAGCATTGATAAGATGTGCCCAATCCCTAAATAACGTACGAGTGGCGTCCCGGGTTTATGAGAGGTGCGTATGAATCGCAGCCATACAATATTGTATATAAGTATTACATATGTATAGTATATAAACATCACAACATAAATTATTAATATTACGTATTTTCTAGTATTGTCATATATTAATATTTTTCATTTCAAGAATAACATATAATATACCTAATAATAATAATAATAATAATATTTTTTTGCGTTTCTACAATATAGTATATAATGATAATAATGTTAAAAATAAAAATAGTATTCGTAAATTAATATTACTGTATAGTAATTTCATTTTTAAGCTATTGTTTTGGCAAAGACTTAAAACTCAACGATTTAACTAAATCAAAATTATCTATTTCTTTTAGCTTGTGTTTTGTCATCTGTTCTCTAATGAAAGCTTCTTTTTCACACATTTTCTTTGTTCCTTACACTTTTACTTCTGCATTTTATGTATGTTTTAGATTGAACTTTCTAGTAACACATTTACGATGGTGTAAATGTTAGGATGGCTAGTGTAGAACGACACTTCGTAGATAATAAATGGCTTCGACTTTCCATTATATACAAATTCCATGATAAAACATTCAAATACGTATAATATATCATACAAACTATTATACAAACGATACGAACTTATACGAACAAAAATTAATTTCGGACTAAATACGATTTGACAATTTTCATTTTGCCATTTAAAATTATCCGATTATTGTAGATAATACAAGTCATACAGCAGATAATACAATAATTCAATCTATATTTTTATATTTTTTTTCTTATATTAAATAAAGATATAACTTGCTATACGTATTGAATATTTCGTTCATCACTATACGTACAGCCAACACCGCATCTGACAGGTACATAGGTACATAGGTAATGATAATTACTCGGGCTGCAACTTACTCACAGCCTATATAAGATGCATTGGAGTCAGAATTTGTAATGTAATCCAAACTTTTAGACAAAAAGGCCTCTAAGCGTATTATCAAAGCTTTATACTTCACATAGTCATAATAATTAAACATAATATTTTGTATATAACACAATGAAAGTAGTATATTTTCGATTGTCTGTTTATGAACGAGTATAACGATGTGCTTTTGAATACTTAGCGACAATTTGCAAAAATACAATACAGTCAAGTTTATAATATTCAGTGAAGCCCATTGTCTTTTCAGGGAAATAAACGATTATAATAATATTAAAATATATTATGCTGTTCAATATGTTTGAATAAAGTATAGTCCTTTTAAAATTTATTTTTAAAATCCAATTTACAAAATATTAATAAAAATCAGTCTTAAAAAATAAAGTAAAGAAAAATACTGATGTAAACACTGTATATTATTGAAACATTTTTTTTTTCTTTTCAATATACTTATAATAACCTATCCAACGGCCGATATCGGTAACAATTCTAATCATTTCAAACAACATCCAACCCCTAGCAAGTGAATTATATATACGCACTTTGCCTGCTCATTTTACGACCTTTGAAATTGAACGCTTACATAATTATAACGCGTTGGCGCTCTCTGTGCTTACCTTCAAGTAGTCTTGTTTTTCGTCACCGCAATCTATTGGAGACTTTACAAACTCAATGCGCCCACCCTCAATACAAATGTTAGGAGCGGTCGTGCTCCCTGCGTTGGCGGTCGTCATTTTCCCTGAAACTCCACCGATAGGTAGCGGTACGATTTCCGGTTTGTTGCAGCTGTAACTGACGACGGAAGCCGCGTCCGGAGATGTCAATGGTGGTTTGATCGTCTCGTACGTAGTTGAATAGTTCGTGTTGTTGTCGCACGCCGTATACATTTGCCTAGAACAATTGTTTCAAATTCGTCAAAATACGCGTAAAACACGAATTGTTGCGATTACCGATGATAACTTCACAAGCGTTTAAGAAAAACATTTATCTATTATTTTAGGACCATAATATTATAATACGAGTACAAGCAGTCGATGTAAAACTCAACTGTGTGATAGGGTGATTTAATTGGTGCATTAGTAGTTTTAACCTAACCACTGAATCTACACCCATAAACATTCGTGTGCTTCATCATTCTAGTATTGATTAAACATTTTTAACGCAGCAAAATAATTACATCGCTGAAGATAATAATTACACATTACAGAAATATTATTACACCTATACGCATATACTGACTCCCGAAAACGCATTAAAGCTTATTAAATGCGTATCAAATTTCAACAGAAATGGTAGAAATAGAAATAAAAATTAGCATGTTGGATTTCAACAGTTTATCATCAGCTTTAATAGATAAATTAAATAGTATATTCAATGGACACGAATTAAATAATTCGTTAGTAAATAGCTTTATACTTAATAAAAGATACTTTATAAAAAAATTAGTAACAATATTAAACAATAATTATATTATTATAATCGTTTCTAAAACAATATTTAGATTTAATCGGCAAAATAATAATTTTCAAACGGGATCGGACAACAATAATACCTATACAGGATGCAAGTTCGATTCTATGTGTTTTGTTGAAAGTATTACGTATCACAAGATTGTCCAAAATAGTGAAATGTTCATGCTTCGACACCTCAAAAATTAATACTCGTATTATTTATAAAATCAATATTTCCTCAACGTCGTGATATCGTTTTACCGAAACAAACGAGTCGGTGTCAGTGTACAGAAGATATACTATATAATAATGTTGTATCATATACCTATGCATAATATTACAGTAGCAACGTTCATCAAATAACGATAAAAAAATATATTAAAACAACACTGCCGTCCTTATGCACATCGGAAAGAAATTCATCTCTGTGTCACGGACACATAAACGAGTATAATATATAATATCGTCTCGTGCATGTTTCTTGTCACATAGTCGTCGGGTCAATGGAACATCTATAGAATTAAGATGTATTATATTATATTGATCTTCGGATCACAGTTCTAGCGCGACATCATCACACACTTAACCTCACGCAGCCTTGTTACAAAATGAGAAAAATAAGCGATTACGAATGTGATTCAAGATGACTTCATGTTTGCAGATATCGCATCCTACGCGGGAGTTCATATGTTATTATTATGGTTATTATTACATTAAATATGTTTAGCAATACATATATTTGCTGTGTATGCGTGAAGACCGTATGAATACAACATTTTTTTAAAGATAAAACAAAAAAATTAAATGTACTGGTACGATGAAATCAGGCATATGACGATGACGTGATAAACGCGTAATCTTGACGAATGGAACAATAGTAATAAAAAATTATACAATATAATATCGCAGTGTGAATTCGTACGCGTTACTGACACGATATTTTTCACATTTTCCATATAGCAATAACTTTGTAACAAAAAACCGATTATATCGATTGACTATTCGAGATTCAACCCGTCTGTTTAAGTATGTAAATGTATAAGTGTATTAATACACACAAAAAACCATTAATGTGTGCTTAAGGGCTAGTTATATATATATATATGGAGAGAGGCATACGCCGTAAAAATACATATATGATTTTGTCGTAAGAATATCATGAAATAATATCGTAATGTCCTCGCTCGCAAAAATACGAATGACTTTCATCACAGACTCCATACGCATGATTTAGTATTTTTACAAGAAGTCGACTGTAAATAATAATAATAATAATGTAATCACACGCGAGTTTCGTCATTACATTTTCGAATACATACAATATATATATATATATATATATATGCGGTTAAAATAAACACAAAATGTTTATAAGCGGACTAAATAATATATATGTACGATAATATTGCATCATTTGCGGACCGAAGGTGCGGACACACATACCGTGGTTCAAAATCGTAGGGAGTTTTAGAACAATAAGTGTTTTAACTGGAACAAACAATTCTAATTTTCAATATCCTGTTATTTTTTCCGATTTAAATAACTAAGAATGCAGTAGTGCATACAATAGTATAATATGTCTTATATGCTTACATCCTCGGAACAGAATAATCCAATCGACGTAAAATAAATAATAATAACAATGTATTTACAATTTGAATCGTAATAACACACGTCATTTAGTATATAATAGTATAATTTTTAGTACAAACTGTAATTATTTCACCTAACTAAGTGTATAAAATCTTAAAATGAACGACATCACTAATTAAAATCTATTTGAAACACGTTTTTATAGAATAATTGGGCATGGACAATTTGAAACTATTTATTTCATAAGACTAAAAAATGAACATAAACGCAAATTTAATATAAAAATAATTTGATGTACAATACGTATTTTGAGTACATTTTTAATAAATAATTCTTTGAAAAAATTGGATTCATCATAATTTTTAAACGTTCAAATAAATATGAAATTTCAAGTTAATTTAAGCATAAATGTAATAATTATGAGAGAAGCAACAATATAAATATAATTTTATAATATTAGATCACGGATTAGATCACTCACTACACTTTTAAATATCAAAATATTAACTCAGCCGAGACAAAAATACACGGAACGTTATATTTACAGACGTATGCATGGATAATAGAAGAATCTTCTATTCTTCTATTATCTATGCAGGTATGTTTATAAATAAAGGTACATAACAGTTTCACGTACAATGTTAATTTGATACTAAAAATTGATCTAGAATTGATTAAATCTTTCATAAATCGAAATATTTTTCGCATATATCCAAATATATTCAGTAACCTGCTGTCATTTTGGATACTTTGCCTGTTCCATCTTAAGATACGCGATAGTATATTCGAAGTGTTGTAGTGGATGCAAAATATACTGATTCAATGGTACTCAGCTTTAAGTTCAAGTACTGAATCCAAAGTGTTTCGGACAACCCCACCTTGCATCTAACGTCAGAAACGGTAATATAAAGCATATTATATATCGATGATACTCGCTCGTCGGTATGAGTCGAAAGATCAAAAAGACCTCCCACGCGCTTCAATAAGTTGTATCGTTAGAAAAAACAGGAAGACTTGCCGGACTCAGGTGGATTACAGCACGGCAAGCCCGGCTTGTATAAATACGCGTATGGCCTAATAGTTTAATTATTATAAATCAAAAACCCACATAGGATCGTCTTTATTTCTATATTTTTTTTTCCAGTTCATACGCATAATGACGATAATAATACACGACGGCTGCAACGATAATAACATTTCATAAACACGCGTTAAACGCATCACAGACGCTCGTATTTAAAACGAAGAAAAAAACCCTGCGGCGGTCTATAATTATTATTATTATAATCAGAGGTTATGGTCGGAAACTCACGCCGTGGCCGTCGCCGTCGCCGTCGCGCGTCGCCGGGTTACTCGATCGATAAAAGTTTTGTCCGCTCCACATTATCCCCGAGGACTCTACAACAAAGGTCAGCCCTGCGTATGTGTATGCTTGTGTAACGCCCGTGCATGTGCGTGTGTATGAGTGTAAACAATTCACTATTCAAGGTCATCCGGTCACTTTATCCCTCCCGATCCTCTTTCTCCACAACCGTATCAACCCCCCCCCTGCACAGGACTAAATCATGACGCTGCCGAAAAAAACGCAGCAGCTGTACACAAAAACTTATAGGATAAAAATCTGAACGTTTGCAGTGTTCGATAGTAATTATTGACAAATTATAATACAATATTACAATGTAAAATACACAATAAAAAAATTACTAAAAAAAACTTCTTTGTTATAATAATACATTATATTACTACGCTACACGCTATTTTATAAATATACCTTTTCGTAAATATTATACTCGCGTATGGCTGATCGCTACTATACATGTATATTTGCTAAATGCAAATATATAATAAATATATTATATTACACGTGCACAATATGTGCATAAATTAGAAAAAAATTGCATACCTATATATATAATAATAATAACATATCTATTTTTTATATGGCTAATCACAAGTATATGAAAATACTTTTGTAAACGATATTTATGATCAATATTTCTGAAAATATTAATATGAAACTAAAAAGTTCAAACACTAAACTTTGCCTACAGTGTTGATAATGCACAACTCATGATTTATAGTGCGATTTGTATTTGATTTGCGTATACACATCCAAACCAATGTCCAATTACAAACCCACCTAGAACAATTGAGTTTACGTTTAGGTAGTGATTGATATCCATGTCCAAATATTAAAATATATATATATATACAGTAGAATCCACTTAAGACGCTCTCGCTTAATACGATTTCCTGCGTAATACGCTCAATTTCACGAGTCTCTTGATTATGAAAACGGTTAACATGTAAATTACTACGGATAAGACGCTCTATACTAATGATATTATGTAGTATAAAATTAATAATCACAATTTCAAATCAACGATGATTTTCAAGATTTAAAAGAGTTTCCTAGGTATGCAGAAATTGATGATGATATTGCTACGAGTAGCCTTAGAAGTATTGATCAAATAATTATTGATAACATTTCATCTGCTGATGTCAGTACTATAGAGAAATAAAGTGAAGAGGAAGAAGAAGATGATACAACACCAATTCTCCCGTAATAAATGCACTTGATTATGTACACGAACTAAGACGATTAATTTCATCTTTTGACAATGCAGATGGAACATTATAAAACCTTAATAAAGTTGAAAACTTCCTCTATTCAAAAAATATTAAAAATTAAATAATGCAAAATAAATTATGTGATTTATAGGTATATGTAAATGTAAATTTTATCATATAATGCAATTATAATAAAAAATTCATAATTTAATGTACAATTTTTAGTTGTCAATTTTCTGGTTTTCCTGCATAATACGATTTCTCGTTTAATACGTTTTTTTTTTACCTGGTCCCTTGGAAAACGTCTTAAATGGATTCTACTGTATATATATTTATGTGTGTATGAGTACGTGTGTTTTAAGATCAATAAAAAACTCAGAAAAAATTCCTCAAAGTGTGACCACGAGTAATAGTCTGTTATGTGCTTGATTATCAACAAATAAACATGAAACGATCAAATTTTATTTAGCGAATTGCTTTTATACACAACTACAGCAAAGTATTCGTAATACGAAAAACTACTACAGTTTGTGTGCCGTATAGCTAGGGGTATTTTGGCGTTATTTTTATAAAATTTACTTATTTATTTTTATTTCCGTATAGATTCAACTGGTAAACACTGAATACTATAATCCTTTCTCGTGTGTACACAATAACAATATATCATGACCATACGTAACAATACAATAACGATATCGTAACTATAACGTTGGTGCATTTAGGCACATGCGCGGGCACTGTAACATCATTAATAACGAGGAAAAAAATGTTTGATCTATATGCCCCATGTCATACATGCGCTGTACCTGTAATGGATCGAGCACAAGTTGCATGCTGTATAAAGTTTTCACTTCCCTCCCCCTTAGTGTAACAACGATATAATAAAACATGTGTTCCGAATAATTTTTATTACCATATTATTACGCTTACAGGGATAATGGAAGAAAAACATTATATTATTCATAACAAATCGACTAAATGTAATAATATCAATACCAATATTGTATTGTATATCATAGTATTATATTATACGAATAACTGTAAGTCATATATTATTGTATCAAAGTGAATTTATTACTGATGGTAAAGTGAAAAATCGATTACTGATTAATAAACATCATATCGACCTAACGAACAAATAAATTATATTTATACTCGTGTATTTCAAATAAGTTATTATTAATTCCGTTATGATTTACAATATTCATCGTATTTGCAATATAGAGTCGATATAGATCGTTTAGATTCCATAGTTATTAACGAATATTTACATCGTTTTACAATGACGAGAGTATATTTATGTTCACGGTAGAACAATGGGGTGTTTTATTATTTTTAGACATAAACACTTCCTGGTTTTAACAAAATATTATGTTTCTACTCTGAATAGAATCACACTACTATGGGGAAATATATTCGAAATCATAATAATTTGTTTAACGTAATTTAGATCAATATAATTTAAACGTTTGGTAAACTAAATTCGAAACACGTACTACGTAGTACAACACAATATGCGATATTATTTCGGAAGTCAAATCATACTTGTTTTCAATTAAAATTAAATAAATCGTCTTTTATTCAAAACAATATATTATCATAATTACCTGGCCGAACATAATTTGGTAATTCGAGAGTCTGGAAGTACGTAAGCGTTAATAGGTTCCGAGTATTCATTGCCACAGCTCAACATCAGTTCATCATTGTTTTCACTTTTTGTACCCCTAAAACATATATTAATAGTTAAATATTTTTTTTTCAAATAATATTGCAATTTAATTCGAAAACGTTTATAAAAACCACTAGCTGAGTTTTTTACGGCGACCTCACATCTGACGAAAACAATTAATTCGGACCTTACAATGTCGTTCATTTTAATGTCTTATAAATCTTTCGAATTGTGCTAATACGTACTACAGTGAGCTGCAGGTTCCGTATCCATTAGCGCGCGTAGGGGTACATTACCAAGTAAAGCAGACGAAGAAATAAAAAAAAAAAAAAAAACTTATCCAGAGATATCACTGGTGTGGTGCCAAGCCTTGAATGTGGGAGTAAGAAAAAAAATTCGAATTTCACCTACAAACACCGCGTACATTATATTATAATACGGTGTAGTAGTTATACGGTATACTATATTATTGACTGCCCACGATGATAAAAATAATTATTACCATTATTACCACATCGGTTTCCGAGGGTTATTAAACTGTTTAAGATTATTATATTTTAAGAATCCATTCATCATAAAAACGTACGTCATACACTAAACACATCATTTTTTTCATATGCGGTATTTATCCAAAAGTGAATTTACCCGGTAACAGAATATTATTCATCGCGCACACAATCATAAATGTTTTAACTACATAGTACATTAATTTTATTATTAACTATTTTTCGTTATGTACGCATGTCAATATGTAAATAATATTGTACACTTTATTGTAACGAATTTGAAAAGAACTAAATGCAAGTTGACACTTAATAATTTAATTGTTCGTACAATATGGGCTAAAAAATTAAACAACAACAAATAAATGATACGCCTAAAGCGCAAATGTTACAATGATAGAATATTTATTTATTTTTTATTCTTTAGAAATCCCGAATAAAGCAAACGTTTTGGTATAAAAAAAAACAAGACGTGTTACGTAGGGGAATGGTTTAGAGGTCGTAGTTCGCGTTCCTAATTTGTCGGGTAATCGAGAGCCGAGAGACATATTACGTATTATAGGCAGGTAACCTACACGACCGACGGTTTCATAGATATGATCTATGATGCATTTGCTCTTAACAACAATGTACTATAAGCGTACAAGTTGTACAACCCACGTGAACACTAACAAGTTTATCTACTTTAGAAAAGTATCAAAATTATGTACACCACATTATAATATGTAGTTCACCAGGAAAGATTTTCAATCTCTACACCATATATATATATATATATATATATACAACATATTATAACATTATATATTTTCACGCGCATCGGCTGTTTTTTATTTTCTACTTTTTTACAAATTATAGACCATCACGCTTTATATATTACAATACAATTGAATTCATATATTTAACATTTGACTTAACAAATGTATTTGATCAAGAATGTTATTTTCAACGAAACAATGGAATAGCAAAATGCATTACAATCAAAGTGTTATGTAAATCATAGAAGTATAAAAGTTTTCAACGAAAAACGTATAGGATTCTTTGAAAGCAACAACGTATACAATATATTTATTGAAGTTTTACAACTTGGTATTTATAGTTATAATATTCTCGTGTGTATTAAATGTATTTTTGTTCATAAAAATGTGAATATTTATATTTCAATCAAAAGTAAAACACTACAGTAACTAAAAAAAAAAATTAATTAAAAATAAAAAAATTAATTAATTAATAAAAAAATAAAAAGGTAAAAATAATTTAAAAAACAGTTTAAGATGGAATGTATTACAAATAATTGCCACTTTTTTTAATGTACTTAACAATAATAATTTATAAACAATCGCTTGTATATATTACAAATAATTATAATCTAGTTACAGACATTATCTGATTAATATTCAAATTGTATTAAGTACGCATCTAGTTCATTTTTCTTAATTATAAACGTCATGTAAGTAAAAATTGAAATACAATCTTGAAATAAAATATAATTATAAAAGGTTTACGAAATTATTTTTTAAATATTGTGGCCTAACTCCATTATACATGCAATATATGTAAATAAAATCAAATGAAATCGAAAGAACTGATTGATTGAATATTTAAGAAGGACTTATTCATATTTTTGAATAACTCTCAAGAGTTCTAAATATATAAATTTTTTAATTTAAATTAATTTTAGTGGGGCGATTATTTATTAATATTATAAAAATAACATTTTAAATGTAAGGAAGTAGTTCTCTCAAAAAATTAATAACGAATAATTAAAACCAAATTTAAAAATCAATATCGCATCAAAATCGATGTATGTACATTGTAAATTAAAAACGTCCAAATCCTTTTCTTGTGAATTTGATATGTAGATAGAAAATTATCACTACAAAAAAAATAGATATTTGTTACACGGTTAAGTTAAACATAGCGAATAGAAACAAAATAGATCAAATAATATAGTTAAATAAAAGATTTTTACAAAATTATAATTGTGCGGTACATATATTTAGTTCACAAATAGTATAATTTATTCATTTGAATGCTGTGTTTCTTTGATTTTTTTCAAATACAAATAATAAATAGTTTCCAATTCAAAATGGAATAAAATATACTTTAATATTGTTCACTATCTGCAGAAAATCAGTGCATTATAAATCTTTGTTGCATATTTTGGTAATAGTATAATTGTGTTAAAAATAATAATATGCCAATCCTGTATTTTATAGTAGATAGCCACTATTTTAAAGGAAAATTTTAAAACCTCCACTGGACATTCACTGTTTAAATTCTTCGACTTTATATATATATATATATATATTATTGATGAGTCGAACCTGATTTTTCGGTGTCGAACCGAACTTTGTCAAAATATTACGAACCCGAACCGAACGAACCGTGTTCATAACATTGTTGTTAATATTGAACATTATACTTCATTGTGAATTTAACGCACACCCTTCTTTAAGTTTACAATTGCGCGTATTAAATATGATTACACAATTGTAAAATATTACCGAATTTAATACTAATATCTGCAGTAATAATATCAGTCATCATCAGAGAATCAATAAACAAAGTACGTATTATTTTATCTGAAAGAAAAAAACTTTACGTGAGGTAAAAGATTTTTAATATTCCTTAATTAATAAAAGAAAAGATGATTTGATGAAATGGAGATTTATCAGAAAAATGTGTTCAGCTACTATACTAACGAAATCGAATTATACACTTCTATCAACAGATGGCAATCATGAACATCCGATAGAAAACAAAATTGAACTACAAGTATTTAAAAAATATTTAACTGCGATAATATCTAATCTGGCAACATTGCTGTAAGTTTAACGCCCAATCGTGCATATATTTTACCCAAAATGTATATTCTATTATTCCGTTACAATAAGCACAATCGTATTATGAAAAAGGTAAATTGCGCGTAATCGTATTTTACTGAAAATTTTTATCGAACTAAGATATCATTTTTTTTCTTTTTATAAACAGAAAAAATCAAATTTTTATTCCTTTTCACTTTTCTAAAAATAGATTGGTGGTTTTGATCATATTATCATACATCATATGAAAAAAAAATCTGTGATAATATAGTTCATAGATATTTACAAAAATAACCATATGCTTCAATATGGAATTATTTTATTTTATCATACCTAATCGTAATAATATAAAACTAAGAGTTAATACTATTATGATTCTTCTACTATAAACTATAAAGTATCGAAATTTTAGATTATATAATTAAGAATATCTTCAAGTTCAAATTTCGAACATACCTTAATGGTAAATAGTTCGGTTCGATTTCATTTCCCTTTTTAGTTCAGTTCGGTTCGACATTCAAACAGTTCGAAGTATCACTAATATAAATATATATATATATATATATAGACAGTATCCTATAACTCATCACTGAATTTTGTATTTATAATGCGCAACTAAATTACACTTTCGTCAACATTTTGAATTTTCATAAAATAATACACGTATCAAATAAATAATACTACGATAAAAAAAAAACGACGAAATAGATGCATTTAAGGATGAATATAAGAACAGAAATAAATATGAAATTATGTTTGTTATGAATTAACAGTTTTCCAAAATGATTCATGATATTGGACAAAATATGAACTCTCTCTCCTTCTCTCTCGCTCTCTCTCTCTCTCTCTCTCTCTCTCTCTCTTTTTCCCTCTTTCTTAAAACTTTTCACAAACTTCAACACTTACTATTGTATTCGTATCTAATACTATCAATAATAATATACTATATATATTAGTAATATCCTGTATATCCGCATTATGGTCATATAAAAATAATAAGAAAAACAATAGCATTAATATCATCGTTTTAAACTTCATCAGCTTTAATCAACAATTTTATTTCATGTTAAATAAAGGTGAACAATTATTTGTTAAATTAATAATCAATTAAAATAATTGTATTCAAACATTTTTAAGTATATTTATTTACTCTATTTCAATTTAAGTTTGAATGATTACCTATGTATCAAAGACGAAACCGCAACTAACTATTAGATACGGTGTTTATTTGAAACCTGATGCCTCATTCACAGTATATTAGTATTATAAGTACTATAAGACATTAGAATATAATGGCTGATCAGAAAAAACAATTGTTATTTCCATTAGTATTTTTTTCCAAATGGAAATAAAAAATAACATAATTGTTATAATGGTATTATGCAGAGATATACAATTTGATGGTGGTGATTTTAGGCATTTTAACTAGACGTGAAAAAAAAAATTTTAAGGTTATAGGCATAAGCATAATTTAAGATTAGTGTTTATATAATAAGTATTTATTTTTTCGGGTACTTTTAACACATTTATAAGTAAAATTATTGTTCGTACGAACGAACAAAAAAAAAACTTATAATATGTATAATCATTGTTAGTATTGCTATTTGCACACAACATATTAACACTAACTATAGTAAAAAGTACCCATAGAAAGTCCAAATCAAATCCTATATATTAATATATTTTTAACATTAATATGTACATTGTTCATTGCCTAGGCTTGTATA